GTCAAGGAGCATTTATGTTGTTTCCAGGTTATGGCTATGACAAACAATGCTGTTATGAACATAGTTGAGCACAGGTCCTTGTGGGACGATTGAGCATCCTTTGGATATATACCCAAAAGTGGTATTGCTGGGTCTTGAGGAAGGTTGTTTCCTAATTTTCTGAGAAAACGCCACACTGACATCCAAAGGGGCTGTACCAGTTTACACTCCCACCAGCAATGCAGAAGTGTGTTCCCTTTACCCCACAACCTCTCCAGCATAAGTTGTCATCAGTGTTTTTGATCTTGGCCATTCTTGCAGATATAAGATGGAATCTCAGAGTTGTTTTGATTTGCATTTCTCTGATGGCTAAGGATGTTGAATATTTCCATAAGTGTCTTTCAGCCATTTTAGATTCCTCTGCTGAGAGTTCTCTCTTTAGGTATGTACTCCATTTTTTATTAAATTATTTATTCTTTTGATGACCAATTTCTTGAGTTTTTGTATATTTTGGAAATCAGACATCTGTCTGATGTGGGTTTAGTGAAGATCTTTTCCCATTCTGTAGGCTGTCGTTTTATCTTGTTGACCATGTCCTTTGCTTTACAGAAGCCTTTCAGTTTCAGGAGGTCCCATTTATTAATTGCTTCTCTCAGTGTCTGTGCTACTGGGGTTATATTTAGGAAGTGGTCTCCTGTGCCAATGCATTCAAGTGTATTTCCCACTTTCTCTTCTATAAGTCAGTGTGGCTGACTTTATGTTGAGGTCTTTGAATGGATCCATTTCTAAGATGCTGGCTTTCTTCTGGAAGGAACTTCCAATATTGAAGAGAAACATAAGTGCCAACTAAATTTCACATTTTGGATAAGCTAAGGGCAGTTCTCTCTTGTTTTCTGGCAGATCTTATGAACACTCAGAGTATCTATCCTCTTAAGACTTGGGTTTGGTCAGCGAGTAAAAGATATTTTTATCAAAATTCAGTTCCTGAGAATCCCCATGGAATGAGGACTTCCAAACACATTAAATACAGCTTCTTAACATTAAGCAATTCCATACTCACATTTTCCAACTGTAGGAGGATGGAAGTGTTTTGATAATACTGTTTTGGACAAGAATAGAAATCTGGTGTGTGTGTGTGTGTGTGTGTGTGTGTGTGTGTGTGTGTGTGCATGGTGTGTGTGTGCATGATGTGTATGTATGTGTGTGCGTGCGTGCATGTGTATGTGCATGGTGTGTGTGGTTTTCGTGTGTATGGTGTGTGTGTGTGTATGCGTGGTGTGTGTGTAAGTGTAACAGTGACATATGCTCACCCTTCCACAAAGCTTTCTATCAGCACAACCAAGGTGGTTGTGAGTTTTAGAATTTGAGACCCTGAGTGACCCAAAGGCTTGCTTTCCCCTTCAAGGGATAGTGTAGAATACCCAGAACCATGAAGGGAAAGAGGCAGCCTTCCTTTTTAAACACTAACCACCTAATAAAAGGCTGACAAGACCCTTTGCCTCCTGGGGTTATCTTGATTTAAAATACACCTGCTTCTTCTATATTCCTTTTAGACTTGTCTGTGGTTTTCACCGTTGCTCCTTTTGGGGACTCATCGCTCATCTGTTTCAGTGTTTGAACAGAAGGAATATTCAACATTACTTAAATAATTTTTACAGATAAATTTATTGTGTATATCTAAGGTATGTCAAATGATACTATAATGTACACACATAAGTAAAATGTTTTTTGATAATGAAATAAGTTGAAATGTGTTACCTTGCATAATTACTCACTTCACCTCTTGAGGCAAGAGCAGTAAGACTCTACCAGACTATTTCTTTTTTTTTTTAAAAAAAAACTCTACTAGATTTGTCTATTTTATGTATATGAGTGCTTTGCACCCATGTCCATATGTATACCAGCTGTGTTCCTGGTTCCCTCAGAGGCATTGGATGCCCTGGCTCTGGAGTTACGTATGGATAGTTGTGAGCCACCTTGTGGATGTTAGGAATTAAGCCTGGCTCCTCTACAAGAGCATGCAGTACTCTTAGTGGCTGAATCACCACTCTGACTCCCACTCCACTATTATCTCTTCTTTTGCAGATGAGATGCAATGGTCAGTGCTTATTCCCCACTTGACAGTAACTGTAATCACAGGGGAATCATGTTTGTGAGGAATTATTTTGAATATAAGTGATGTGGGAAGGTCCACCCACTGTGGGAGGGTCCATTTCTTGACTGGGATCCCAAACTGCATAAGTGGAGAAAGAAAGCTGAGCAGAAGTGTGCATCCATCCTCTCTGCGTCCTGACTGGATGCAATGTTAGCAGTAATGCACATCCATCCTCTCTGCGTCCTGACTGGATGCAATGTTAGCAGTAATGCACATCCATCCTCTCTGCGTCCTGACTGGATGCAATGTTAGCAGTAATGCACATTCATCCTCTCTGTACCCTGACTGGATGCAATATCAGCAGTAATGCAACCCATCCTCTCTGTGTCCTGATTGAATGCAGTGTGAGCAGTAATGCAACCCATCCTCTCTGAGCCCTGACTGGATGCAATGTGAGAAGTTATTTCAGGTTCCTACAGCCTTGAATTCCACGCCATGATGGGTGGTAGGTAGCCTTGTACCAGAAGAAGCCTTTTCCCCTTAAGTTGCACATTAAGTTGCACATTGCTTTTGACAGAGTATATTTTATCGCAGCAACAGAACAAAGACATGGTGGGCCCCACTGTATCCTATGCTGTATTCAAACCACAACCATCCTACATCGGTCCCCTGAGAGCTGGGGTTATGGGAATGCTCTAATGCAGTTGATTCTAAACACCTATTGTTAACTATAACTTTCATGTCAAAAATTAGGTCTCTAAGTTTGCTTATCCCACATATCTGCTTCTTTGTATAGGGGCAAAGAATAAGCAATGTTTGGTTATAGGAAAGATGAGGAGGGAGCAAAGCAGAGCTGTAGGTTAAAGGATGCAAATTAGGCTAAGATTTTATCTGAAAAGAGATACAGAAAACTCAGCCCCAAGGGGCCACAAACCCTCTGCTGAGTTCCCCCTTTACAACCACCAGTACTATGCTCATCAGAAAATGAAATGAACACTTCCTGATATTTGTCACCAGTCTGCATTGTTCTGAAACCCCCAAATCTAGTTTTGAACAGAATTCAAGATACCCACGACTTGACCTTTAATGGATAGTGAGTTGGGTATTTTGCACGGTATTCCCGAGACACATCAAATTTCTCTTGCATTTTGCTCTTAGGTGGTACACTGATGGGCAGGAAGCTGATTAGGTAGAGTAACCCTGCCCTTCAAGGTTAGCCCTGTAATTGCCTGGCTGGACTCCAATGTAGAAGGTACCTAGCAGAAAATACCTACATATTACTCAACTAGGAAGAAATGTATTTACTGCTGAAAGGCTGCTGTCAAAATGTTTGGTTTGGAGATCAGTAAGGACATTGCAGCAATTTTAAAAATGTCTAGTTGTATGATTATGTTTTTAGGATTTCAGAAAAAATGAATCTGCACCAACTCATTGCACTTGAAGGCTTGACTGCTCAACAATACGGTTATGCTGAATGGTCTAGCGTTTTACTTGAGATTCTGTACTTCCTTTTATTATTATTTTCTTAATTGCTCAAGAGAGTTTATCCCTCTTCTTTTTTTCTATGATTAAGAACTCCAAACGAAACCTCTTGTGGTGATCGCACCGTATTAAGTCTTTCCATACAAGAGTCGTTAATGGTTTAGCTTTTCAGTGATTTAGCTAAATGAAAGTTCTGATAAAATTTAGTTGCAAGAAGCAAATGCCTCTGTGTCTGGTAAGATCTACTGTGCCTGGGGATTGCGCATGCGTGGTAAAAAAAAATCTACTGTGTCTGGGAATGCGCATGCGTGGTAAGATCTACTGTGACTGGGGAATGAGCGTGTGTGGTAAGATCTACTGTGACTGGGCTGTACGAAGATAAGTGTGAACTGGGTATCAGTTGGACACATCTGGGGTTATCTCACATGGTTATAACATCACGTGACACTTGGATATAGGCACCTGTGGCCCTTGTTGTCAACCAGGTTTTGGCATTATGTTAAGGGCACTTCAAGACCGCACTGAGAAGTGGAATGCATGTCTAAACGCTTGGATCTACAGTATCCACCGTGGGAATGCCTTTCTATCTGATCATTAAAAGAAAAAGAGGTCAAGAACTTGAGAGAGAGCAAGGGGGTTCATGGGAGGGGTTAGAGGGAGGGAAGGAAAGGGGAAAATGATCTAATTATATTATAATTTCAAAAAATGGAAAATATTATGAGAAAAAGGTGACCCATTTTCACTTCTCTTCAACTTTGGGAACTATGGAGTATGATGTCAACTTATTTCCCCCATGACTCTTTCCGAATTTATACTGGCTTTTTGCTTTTTGAAATTTTAGAGCTGGTCTGAGAAAGTGGGACACATTTCCCTTGACATATTTCAAGCTATATGAGAAGGAAAGACCCATCTGCAATAAACTGTTAAACTGAATATTGGCAGAAAGCAATCAAGTCCTCCGCAGAGTGGATCTTACCCAACTCTCCTCCTCCCACACTTCACATAACACCCCAAATGCGAAGGCTCGTGATGCATCCTCCTTCTGGGCACGGACTGCTTGCCTGGTAGAACATTCAGGGGCATGGTTTGCTGGCCCTGTGTTTGTAGTTACAAGACACTCTCTGCCTTGGTTTCTGGCACTGTGCTTTGGGAGGGAGGGGATCCCTATTCCTCAGTGTTCTTACTGCAACATACTTATTACCAATTTAGTGGGCGAGGAAGGGTGGCTAACCTCCTAAAAGATTTGGGACAATGAATTACCCTGTTCTAGTTAGTTTCGCATTGGTGTAATTCACATCTGAATTACACCGTTCCCTATTACCATGCGTTTTTTTTTTTGAGTTCTTTTTAAGGCATTTTATTTATTTACTCTATTCAAGGATGGGAGGCATATGACAAAGCATGAATGTGGGGGTAACTTTTGGGAATTGCTTCTCTCCACCAGGTGGATCCTGAGAATCGAATTCAATCCACTAGGCTTGGGCAGCAAGTACCTGTGGTCACCTCACTGGCTCACATGTGAGTGCTTTACAGAAGAGTTTAGCCTTCCATGATCTTCTTAACAAACTTTAATTTATTGCAGTGTGGTTTGTATAAATTCTACATTTCTGTATTTGTTTCGGCTTTTGTGGTGGCCTAGGAAGAAGGTTCTAGAGACTGTGATAATGACTTTGGCTTGTATGATAAAGAGGAGATTTCACATTTAAGATGATGCACCACTGTCACATCTGTCTAATGGGTCACGAAGAATATTTTTGAAGTCATTTGTGTTTTGTGTGTGTGTGTCTGTCACAGATTGGGGCGTGTGTTTAAGCCTCTCTCGCTACTATTTCACTTCTGTTCTGCCGTTGATCATCTTGTTTCCTAGATGTTGATAACAGCCGAGGCTGAGACACAAGAGAAACTGGCTCCCTTGAGGATTCACATTCAAGTCGCCATTGAGTGGGGAGAGATGGTCTCCAGTGAGAGACAGTGTAGAGAAAGGAGTTGGCATGGTAAGCTGTGAAGGCTGCTAAGTTTAGGAGTTTATAGAGAGTTTCCTCTCTTCCCCCTTTTCTTCCTCTCTCTTTCCCTCTCTCTTCCCGGAAAATTTCCTCTGTGTCTCTTCTGTCTCTCTGCCTCAGTCTCTCCCCATGAGGGTCTTGCTACGTAGCCCAGGCTGACCTTGAACTCAGTCTCTCCCTATGAGGGTCTTGCTATATAGTCCAGACTGGTCTTGAACTTGAATTTGCAGCAATCCTTGTACATTAACAAATGCTGAGGACTTTGCTTCATTTTGCAACTAAGGTAAAATCTTGAGTGCTTTTATTTGTTTTTATTGTATTGTAGTGTCTTTAGACAGGAACTCACTGTGCATCTCTGATTAGACTAAAGCTTGCTATGTAAACCAGACTTTGAACTCACCGAAATCCATCTGCCTTTGTTCTGGGATCAAAGGTAGGTGCCACCAGTACTGGCTTGAGTACTTAAAAACAAACAAACAAACAAACAAACAAACAAAACCCACCCTGTCTCAAAAAAATAAAATAAAATAAAATAAAGGCCAGCAAGTTTAGAGATGATATAAAATGGATTTCCAACCCAGGCAAACGCATATAAACTCCTTGATGATTCAGACGACTTGATCACATATTATCATCCATTTGTATGCTGTTTGGGCTCTGCCTTGCAGTTTTAACTCAATTTGACAACAGTCTAGAGCAACAGTTATCAACCTTCCTAATGATAAGCCCATTTAACACAGTTCCTCATGTTGTGGTGACCTGTAACCATAAAGTTATTTCGTTGTAACTTTATAACTGTAATTTTGCTACTGTTATGAATCATAATGTAAATATTTATATGCAGGCTACCTGATGTGTGATCCCAAAGGGATCGTAACCCCCAGGTTGAGAACCAGTGGACTAGCATTACCTAAGAAGGGAATCTAAAATGAGGGTTGCTGAGATCAGACTGGTCTGTAGGCATGTCTGTGGGAGACTGTCTTGACCATTAATTAAATTTGCAAGAGCCCAGCCCACTGAGGGAGACACAATTCTCTGGGCGGTTGGTCTTCAGCTGTATAAGAAAGCTCTCTAAGTATGAGTCAGTAAGAAAGCCAGCAAGCAGTGATTCTCCATGGCTTCTGCGGCGAATTCCTGCTTGGGTTTCTGCCCTGATGCCCCTCAGTGATGGACTATAACCCAGATGTGTAAGCAATTAAACCTTTTCCTCCATACGCTGCATTTTTATCTCAGTGCTTAAGCACAGCGACAGAAATCAAACTAGAATCGGTTCTCTTTAGTGCACACAATAGGAACTCTGCAGACCTTGTTTTCTCATGGTCACAGTACCAGCAGTGTGGCACTAGCAGCATGGTGTTTATATGCTCCAGTCTACCTCAAAAATGAAAAGAACCTTTCCATCATATTTTAAAAACCCCTGGGTGTGAAAAAAGTCTGGTTTGAGGGTTTTGGAGTCATCGGTTTGACTTACTCGGCATTAAGGTATCAGGTACTATGAAAAGAATCACAGAAGACAGTACCCAAATCTCAGCAAATGAGTAAACATGGACGTAGCAACTTGAGACGGTCTTGTCTAAAAACTCAAATGTGGGACTACACAGTGAGCAGGTCATGAGAGCCGAAGGAACTCTTAGCTGGCCCTCGAGTCTTACTGAGCTACAGGTCTGTTGGAAGAGGGCTGTGGTTGAGATAATCCCTGAGTCATATTCTCTACTTCTGAAGCTCCTTCTCAAAGTCTGCGGTGGAGGAATAGGTCACGCTGAACATGTCTTGTGCACAAAATGGGAGAAATTGATAACAGAAATCTCCATAATGTTACCTTGGTATAGTTTAAGAGCCAGCATATTTTTGACTCAGCTGAAAACACTTAAACAGAGATCATCCTGATTTCTTCTCTGTAGTTCTGAAGCAGTTTTCTCTTATTTTTGGTGTGTAGAGTGGTGTGTGTGTGTGTGTGTGTGTGTGTGTGTACAGTGGTGTGTTTATCTGTTGAGAGTGTGTGTATGTGTGCATGTGTGTGTGTGTGTGTGTGTACAGTGGTGTGTTTATGTGTTGAGAGTGTGTGTCTGTGTGTGTTGTATCTCTGAATGCTCATTGCTAGTAGCATCATGGTGTGATTATCTTCTTTTCCAAAACAGAATGTTCGACACAAGTACCTACTGCCCACAATTTTGCACTGGCGTGACTACAAAAACAGTCCTTTCAGACCTTCCTCCTTGCCTGTTATATTCCAAGGCAACTATTTCCTTTATAAATCTGAGAAAAATCACTTGTCTCAAAGGGAAGGAAATTTAAAGTCTTTCACTGCAAATTAAAAAAGGAAAGAAAGAAACAAAGGAAAAGGAAAGAAGAAAGAGTTAAAAATAGTACCCAGTTCAGATAATTTCCAACTCTGAAAATTCCACTCTAAAAATATACTCACGTGGGTTATTTTGAAAACAAACACCAATCCTATATATTCATAAAGACTCAGTGTGGTGAACTCAGCTGCATCCCAGGCACGCATCCTTTATGGTATAAATATTCTGAAAGCTGATCTCTGTTGACACTGGCTGGAGGAGCTTTAGTGTGCTTCTGGAATTGTTGTTCATTTTGGAGCTAATGTTTTGACTTAATTGGAGTACCAGCAGCAAAAGAAGGAAAACAAGGAGACAAAAATATTCTTGATAAAATAATCAAACATTAATGTCATCTCCCTCTTTTGAAAATGAAGTCTAAAAGCTTCACTCATGAGATTATGATAAATATGATGAAATCAAAGAGATTAATCAAGAAATTAAGTAATAAATTGAAAGAAATCTTAAGCAGTATGGAAACGGGAGGCTCATAAATGTGCATTTGACTTCTATATGCCAGACACTCCTATCTCTGTATTCCTATTACTTTCCAATGAAACAATCTACCATTCCAAAGTAATCATTTCTATTAGATAACATCTTCATTTTGAGGGTAATTTCCTTTTTTCTAAGTTAACCTTGCATTCTAAGGCTTATTCTGTTTTTGCTAAGACTCTATTTCTGTCTATTTATAAAGAAATCATTGGTCACCATTTTCATATAACTGAATAGATGAAATAATCACTGAATTAGTGAAATGTCCTTCCTTCCTTCCTCCCTTCCTTCCTCCCTTCCTTCCTCCCTCCCTCCCTCCCTTCCTTCCTTTCTTCTTTTCTTCCTTTTACAGACAAATAGGCTATCTTCTTTAACCTCACTCCAGGGTCCCTTTAGTTCCTCATCTTCTAATGTAAGATAATTTCCTGTAACACCTTTTCAAACTCTTCATACCTCAGTAGTAACATAGTCTTTCCCGAGAGGAGAAAGCATTGCAGAAACTGTGCTGTTTTGTGTGCTTCTTACTTTTACAGTTGTCCTTGAGTCAAATGGAAATTTAGAGAGTGTTTTAAAGTCTTTTTATGTGTAGCACAAGGCACAGGCCAGTGGATCGAGGACTCCTGGAGCAGATGAAATCACACCCTGATACTTCTTTTCTTTCTTTTCATTTTTAAATTGATTTTATTGAGCTCTACATTTTTCTCTGCTCCCCTCCCTGCCTCTCCCCTCCCCTTCAACTCTCTCCCATGGTCCCAGATGCTCCCAATTTACTCAGGAGATCTTATCTTTTTCTACTTCCCATGTAGATAAGATCCATGTATGTCTCTCTTAGGGTCCTCATTGTTGTCTAGACCCTGATATTTCTAATGTCTCGGACTCAGGACTATTGAAGTAATATAAAAATATAACTCCTCATGAGTTAATTTAGCTGAGCCATGAATACTGGGTTTAATGCATATTTTGGGATCTCTTTAAATAAAAAGAAGTATTGTGACTTGCTATAGAGTGACACGGAAAAAATTTTTGCCTTCTTTGGCACCATTGCATCTGTAACAGGAAAGGTGAAAACAGTTAATTAACATTCAGTTTGTAGTTCTTATGCAATATCTAAAACTGGTGACAAACCATGACAGGCGCTAAAGGAATCATGGGGTGTTCCATGAGGAAGACAGCCCTGTGACCAGGTGCCCACCAGGTACAGAGAAATACAAATCGGGTTGTCTGTTAAATTATCAAAGAAATAAGGATATTCCAGTCACATCGTCTAGGTTCTAGCACTCATCTTTAAAAAAGCCTTCATGACAATATAGTGTGAGTTTCAGAATCACAGACGCAGGCAGAAGAATGGAAAGGATGACTTCCAAAGATCCTTCACACATTCCTGTTACAGACTCTGGCTGGGAAAATCAAGGAGAAGAGAAATGTCAAAGAGAGTTTCTAGAACATTTGGAGGTGCTAGAATCAGGCGAAGGCAGGCCGGGAAGACAGGTTTTAAGTGGTGTTGTTAAGGGTTATTTTCCTGTCCTAATAGAATCTGGAAGGTCACCTCGGCAAGTAATGAAATCCTTTCTGCAGTGCAATAAGATGGTTCAATTTTTAACTCAAGGAAAATCCCAAAGCAAAAAGCACATAAAATACCGGGGCTTGGGGGTGGTAGTGATAAAATTATCATCAAAATTTAAAGACCTGTCAATCTAAGCAGTGCATACGGATCCGGTTTTAAATAAATTATGTTGTTTTTGAAATGGCAGATGCCACTTTTATCATGCACATTCCTGCGGTCTAATTCACAATGAAGCCGCGAATAGCTTGTGACAATTATTTTCAGGAGGGCTTTATCTGGCACTTGTGTTGTTTGCTCCATTTCTGTGGCGCAGTTGTGAAGGAGTTGTGATCTATTTCATATTTCTACTCAAAAACAAAGAAAACCAAGATGCACCCACAAAGAGCAAACCCACAGAACATCTGGTACCCCTTTCTCATCCTAAAAATAACATTTAATGTAGGTGTGTCTATTCTAAATATTCTATCACCTTTCACTTAATTTACAATCCAGGATTTTCCCCTAGTCTCTGTCACCAATGGCTCCTTTCATCAACGCAGAGTGACTTCAACACAGTCTCTCTGAAATAAGACATTTTCACCATATGCCCTTAGGATC